CTAACAAAATTTAGTTAAAAGGACTAAATTCACACATTTCTAAAGTTTGGGGACTAAATTAGGCCAAAGTTTTGAAGAGGGACTAATTCCAATTTTCACTTAAAGTTAAGGGACCAAAAACATATTTAACCCTTAAATATATTATCGATTCTAAAACACCCATCTCCACAAATTTCTCCTTTATTTCCTTATATATAAAAAAATCTAGTTTTGTCCAATTTAAACATTGTAATTTGAAAGTAAAAAATATTTAGAAACTAGATAACTTTTAAATGGTGTAATTTGAAAGATAAACATGATTTGCAAATTATGTAATTCGAAAGTAAATAATAAATAAAAAATATTTTTCAAATTACACAAGTTTTGAAAGATTTTATTTCTGAATTATATAATTTGAAAATTATTTTTAACTTTTGGATTGTTTAATTTAGAAATCATTTTGGAAGGAAAAAATTGGCTTCCAAATTGTAAAATCCAAAAATTTAGGTTACATAATTTATATAGGTGCACTAAGAAACTACCATATATAGGTAAAGGAAAGTTTATTAACATTTTGGGTCAAAGCCCAAAGGTGTAGATGAAGCGAATGAGAAAGGTGAATACTGGCTTGAGGAAGAAGTAGAAGAAAACGTTTTTCCCTGGCAGTTTGAGAAAGCGAGCACTGGTTTTCGTGATTTGGCGTGGGAAGAACGCTTCTTCTCATAGAATCGCATATGCAGCGATTAAGGAGTTCTGTGTTTTCGGCGCCCAACCTTAAGAAAAAGTATCTCAATTCACGGGCTGCGATTCAAGACACTTTTTTTTCCACAAAGGTTTTCTCTTTCTTTCTCTATCTCCATTCCCTTTTCTCATCTCAACTCACATCTCTCTGTGTTTTAGGATACGTTTGAGAGACATCGCGTGGTCTTCACTGTTGGAACTTCCATTGCTTCCGTTGCCACTGCTTGGTTCGGTCTGTCTTCTCTCTTCTCTTCTACTCTTTGCCCATTAACCACAATCACTCACTCACTTTTTTTTTTTTTTTTTTAATTTCATAGGTTACACCTTGCGCCATTTACATGACACCAAAGTGGATCAAAGGCTTCAATCCATTGAAAATGCTGTATACATATAAATCACTTTGCTTCTATTATTGCCTTTTCCTTTATCTTGTTTGAAATTTATATCATGTGCTTTGTTTTTGTCTCTGTCAGATGCAAAACAATTCCAATCTCCATCATACCGAAATCAAAGACATTGTCGCAGGTTCGGGAGGTTGTAGCATTCCTGCTTGTATTGCTACCGCGGGAACTTCCTTGGTTATCGGGTTAGTCTCTCCTCCCTCACAAACAACAACATGCTCCTTAACATTACTGCATCAATTTTGAAAAATTTGCGTGGTTAATTTACCAAACATAATTATTATAGCATGCTATGATGGTTGTTATTCATTACGAAATGACCGAAAATTGCCGACCTCATTCTATTGGGAAAGGGCTGTGGTCGCTGTATAATGGTAATGCTTTGATTATAAAAAGCAGAGATTAACAAGAAAATAATAATTACTTAATTATGTGCTGTAATGTTCTGCTAGAAATTCCCAACCTTTCATGACTCTTGATCTGTTATTCAGAACCTTGTGAATCTTTTTGTTTCTCGCAGTTTGCATGGATTAAATTAGGTTACTTGATGCTGAAGGTTGAACAGTACTTAATTTTCCTAATAATCCAGTGATGTGGTTCAGTTTTCCAACTAGTTTTACATCGACTGAGGAAGGGACCAGTGGTGCACAACTCTCCTGTTTTAGCTGGGCCGGGACCGCTATTCATAAGACTAGGCACAGTAAAATTTTCCAACTAGCACCTTGAGAAAAAAATTGCAAAAGGAAAAGAGAGATAGATGAAAAGAAATTTAAAAGGATAGTTGAACCAATAAAATTATAATGCAAAACTCACAGTTAGCAAACTAATTTTAGATTTTTTAAGAGGATGAATTTACCATTCTGATTTTTGGCATAGCATAGCACATATTAATTTACTGCTCTAGCCCTATTATTGTTTGGGTTCCTCATTCACGCCTACAGTTAAATCTATCGCCCCAACATTCTGCAAGTTTACTTTACATACCGTGCTACTACCCTTGTCTAGGGATGGCAAATGAACCCATCTATGAGGATGTCTAAAGTCATCCTAATTTTAATGGGGAATCCCCGTATTGACTGGGCGTGAATATGAATAATACTTAAGTTTTTTAAATGGGTATGAGGATGGGATGATAACATGCATAGGACCCCTTTATATCCATTCCCATGCCCATTCCTGTCCCCGTACTTATTCTCATTTTAAATTACTAAATCCTTTAATTTATTAAGTAATCTCACAAACTTGCATTAACCTGTCTTTGTTTTTTAGTTTCCTAACTTATTTCTTAGGCACACATTGATCAATTTTATTTTCTTTAACTCTTACCCACACCTGCCCCACCTCTTTGCCATTAATTACAAACCTCATCAATTTATCTATTTTAGATATTTCTTGAATTTCTTTTTTATGTACTGGGGAAACATGGGACAGGATATTGATTTTTGCTTAGAGATAGCGACACTGTGATCAAGGTAAATACACTGCGAGGAGGAATGTGGATGACAATACTAAAATGTTACATGAATGATTTCGTGAATTACAATTTTAAACCCCACATACCAACATCTCTTTACACATAAATTTGATGCTTCTTAGCTTCTAGATCTCAGCTTCTAAAATTTGGGGATGACAAAAAAATAATTAGGTGTTGTTTTGCAAATTCGGAAGGACTTTGGGTGTGGGAGGAAACGGGAGGGGGGGAGGTGTCATTCCATTTCTTATGTCTGGGTTTTGTTTTCTCAAACTCCAAATCATTCTTCCAGTGGATCTGCTTTTGAATTTGGAATATTGTTCCAGTATGAATGTCAAGTTTATTCGTTATATGGACAAGATGCCTCAGTTAAAATCACTAATGTATTAATCTGTGAAAGGAAATACTGCCATGCATTTGACCTGTTGATTGATTCTAGGTGTTGGCGTACATGTTTACGAGAACATGTCTCCTCTGTTGATTTTGTTGTTGCTTTGTTTCATACGCCATTCATATTGACTTTTTATTTTCTTTGATACTTTGCTATCAGTGGATTTAAACATTCTGATTTTTCTTTTGCTATGAGTTCTCACTTTAGCTGATATACAGGTATGCCTTAGATGGAGGGGTGGAAGCTGGTATGCAACTAAGGAAGTTCAGAAAGGAGCAAATGAAAAGCTAGGACAGATTACACCTAGAAGATGGCAATTGGCTTGGGAAGATAAAACCTAAAGGGTTGCAATTCCAATTCCTTAGAAGGAACCTTACAAACTCAAATTATTGATAGTGCCATGAAAAACATCCGAGTCAAGTATAAAGGATGCAGCTACTACACATGTTACTTGAAAATCTAATTAGTATACTACTATAAAATGGTTTCTTTAAGCAACAATATTTATTCAGATGGCTGTAGATACCAGATTAGGCCATTCAATTAGATAAAAATATTAGCAACTGGTATAACCAATTATCATCAATTTTGCACTGATAATTATTTTGGCCTGCAGCTGCTCACCCTTAGCTTCATAAATTCTTCAATCCTTCATGATAGTTTCTTTAAAACTTGTGTTGTATTTGATTGTTAAATTTATAATCGAGTAAATACACATACTTTGATTTTTGGTGGGGCAAATAGACTCTCTTTATTGGAGGAAATACACATTAGATTTGTGTTATGTAGGGAATGAACAAGTTCTCGATGGTCTAATTTTACTAACAAAATTTTCGACCAAGATAATATATTCAAGAGTGACAGTCTAAGAAAAAATGGAACAGAAAAAGAGAGAATACGATGAATGAATCTGTGTATACAGCTCTCAAATACTTATACCCATATAGACATCAAATCAAATAACTAAACATATTACTATTATCACAATTGAATACATTTATTTTGAATTAATTTAAGATACATGCACGAACTCTAAAACCATTTTAATTCAAAATACTTAAATGTTTATGAAGATATATAAAAGGTGAACTTATCTTATTTTTAATTCTGATCAAGTAATACGTAAATTCTTTTATATCACTATTAGCTGTTTCTCATTATAAACAAATGGAATTAAAAACTTATAGAGAAGGTAGGAGATGTTTTAAAAATAGTTTTAGAAAAATAAATAGTTTTTATAAAATAAAATTCAATTATCACTTTTTTATAAATTAACCTTTTAAGAATAAAATAATCGAATATTATTTTTTAAAAACTATTACTACTAATCTTTACTCATTTTCTAGCTGCTTAAATAAATAAATCTCAAAGATTTAATTAAAAATATTTCATAAGATGTTGAAGTATATGAATGGATGAACTAAAAATATATTTAAATTATTGATTAGTTAGCAAACCTCCTTCTCCTATCTCTATAAATTTAAGGTTAATGAACAAAAATTAACAAATATTTAATAGAAAAAATATTAATATATTTTTTGTTGGCTTAGCATAACCTCCTTACTTAATGCATTGAATTTTATGTCTATATTATTTGTTGTGCACAATAAGTAAAGACTTATTTAGAAATATTAACTAAGTTGTTAGAAATTCTAAAATATCAATTGTACAAAAAAAAATGTAATACATATAAAAGACCTGGGAATTAGGTAGTTATTTATTATTATAACTTCAGCTGTTCAGTCTTCATTAATACTCAAAAGGAATGAGTATAATGATTCAGTTCTCACCATCCCTTTTTATCTTATTACTAATTGTAACATATGGGTGTGAAAGTAGATTATGTAAACAGAGCAGATTGAATTTTAATTTTTAATACATACATCTGTTTTGATCTGTCCTTGTTTAATATGTCAAATTGATGAGTTAAAGACAGATAAGTTTATTTCTAATTGGTTAGTGCGTTTTGTTTTAATTTTTTAATTTTTTAATTTTTTTAATTTAAAAATTAAAATTAAAATAATTAAAAGATTAAATTTTTCTATTAAATTTTTTGTAAAAATATAAATGTGTAATATTATTATAATTTAAATCATTTACATTTATTAATTAAGTTTTAATTATTAATGTAATTGAATAATTGAATATATAAATGTAATAATTATTATTTAATTAAAATATTAATTAAAATATTTGAAATATTCATATTACTAAATATATTTTAATATGTCTTTATAATATGTATACAATAAATTAAAAAAAATTAAAGAAAAAGTGGGTGGCTAACTTTTCAGTCTGTCAGCCTGTTACGTGGTAGAGCCAGTTGCAAGTTATGATCATTTTTTGGTGATTCAGTTTGATCGATTCATTTTGTCTGTTTTGTTTTTGTCACTTTTAACTAAAAGTTGTTTAACATATTTATTTGTTTATATTTCAATAAATTTTTAAATATTTTTCTTCTAACTTGAAAAATATTGGATTCTTATTAATTAAGTTTAATATGTTGATTCAGGCCTAAGTATGAACGCATATGTTAATTCCATGGTAGTTTGGTAACTGGTTTTTGCTTTGTGGTACAATACATTAGTAAGAATTACATAATATAAATTTTGGTCTAAGCACATGTTTTGGCTTTTTGTATGCGACACATAGGTCTGGTCAGGAGTGGCCTCTGCAGTGAAAAAACCATCCACAAATTTCTGGCATAGTAAAAAGCTTGGCAACAAAGTCCAAAAATTCATATAATTTAATAGTGGGTCCTTGGTAGACCCCACATTGCTTTTGTTTAAACCACTGTTGACAAAAAAGGTGGTTTAAAACCCCTCAGTGAATACCTTACAACTATTATTTTTCCCGTTTTCTGCGTGTATAAATAATGTCTGGATTGGGAAGATTAATGTACCAGGAAACAGAACATGGCCACACATCTCTCACCAATCCTTGTGATTCTCTTCTGGGGTTTAACTCTTGCAACTGGAAGAAAACTCTCACCACTCACCACCACTACTGCAACATTGTCATCATCCCCCACTGATGGTATTTGCTCATCTATGGTGAAAACACAAGCCTACACTTGCGAAGAACACTTGGTATGTACTGTGCTTGCATCTGTTTCTGTCTGCTCAGAAATCAACAAGATTTAGAACACCTACTAGCTACTAACTCGCTTATTGTGTAATATTTTAGGTGACAACTCAAGATGGTTATATTCTTAACATGCCAAGAATTAAAGTGGGAGAATTAAGGGGGCCACCTGTTCTTCTACAGCATGGGCTTTTCATGGTTATTAAGAGTTTTATAAGCAACTATATATCATAGATTTTGTTGTTGATGTTGGCAATTAATGTGGTGCTTTGGTTGCAGGATGGCATAACATGGTTATTACTACCTTCAAAGCAGTCTCTTGCATTTCTTTTGGCGGATAATGGGTTTGATGTTTGGGTTGCTAACACTCGTGAACCAAATATAGCCGGCAACATATAACTTTACCTACCTAATAGCTCGGTTAGTTTTGTCTACTAAAATAGTTGATGCATTTCTGTGGTCGGCAATTTGTTTGGTTCTATTGATCATATCAGTTTTATTCTTTAGGATTACTGGAATTGGTCATGGGATGAATTAGTTGCATATGATCTTCCAGCCACAGTCAAGTATGTGCATGATCTAACTGGACAAAAACTGCACTATGTTGGTCACTCACAGGTGAATTTCACATTCTACTCTTCAAAAACTGCACCGTTCTTGTTTTTGACCTCTTCATGTGATGCTGAGTGTAGAGTGTTGAATTCCTCTGTAGGGAACTTTGATTGCATTGGCTGCTTTTTCCCAAGACCAGTTACTGAACATATTGAGATCTGCTGCCTTGCTTAGCCCAATTGCTTATGTTGGTCAGATGACTTCACCCCTTGCTAAAAATGCAGCTGAAAACTTCATTGCAGAGGTATTAGTCATAAGAATGATTTTATTGTCTGTGAAAAGAAAAAATTCCTTTTACAATTCAAATGAATTGACAATGAAAATCTGTGTTTTCCTCTTTACAGTCACTGTACAACTTTGGAGTCTTTGAATTTAATATGAGAGGGTATGCAACTTATTGTCTATTATTCATTATCATTCATTTCTTTGCACTGTAGTTATAAGAATAAGAAGGCTGCAATGTTGGTTCCTCGTAGTTCTAACTTTAATGTTGTAAGAATGTAATATGCAGACATTTCTCAAATTCTTAGTGGGTAGAATAAGATCGGATCCAGAAGTCATCCTGATGTTAAACTGTTTACCATTGAATGAAAAGTTTAACTATAATTTAAGAAACCACGAATTTGATCCTCCAAAGTTATATGCATCCTCACATTAGTCTTTATGTCACCACTTTAGCCCTTCAAAGATTTTGACTCCGAAACATTCTTTCAAATGCTTAATATATCACCAATTTGACATAAAAGTGTTTTCACCACTTTGTTTATTCAAAGGACCAATATGCCTGCTATTTTAAGTCTCTGATAGACTGATTTGGTGACAGATAAATCTTTAGAGAATAATCTTTGCAGACTACTTTCAGCAATGTTTTTAAATGGAGGACTAATTTGGTTCCAAAAATTTGGTAAGACATGGTAATGAATGTAACTTTGGAGAATGAAATTGGGAAGTAAGCTAGTTTATGACTAATGTTATGACTCCAATCGTATGAAGGCTTATATCACTTCATTTTTCTCATGTCTGAATAGGGTCTCTGTTATAAAGTTTCTAAAGGACTTGTGCAATAACACAGGCATTGATTTGCAACCAACTTGTTGACCTCTTTCACAGTGGCATTCATGTTCTTATTCAGCTATTATTCAACCTCCAAAATAACACTTGTTTTCCTTCATTGACAACACTGATATGCTTTCAGGCCCAAATTGCTGCCTCAACCCTTCCATTGTAAATGTTTTTTGGATCACAGCCTCAGTCAACAGCAACAATAACATGACATCTATATCAGAGTCAGTGGTTCGTTTTCTATTTTCCCTG